GCTCTCAAATCCTGCAAAAAAAAACTGTTCAGCTCATCTGGGAGAGATGCGCACGCAGACACTCCCGCAGCACCCCCCGCTGCTCCTTTGTAGTCTGTCATTGTTCTTAGTCCCGCCCACATGTTCTGGGTGTTACAGCCTTTGAAGTCAGACTCCACCTTGTCTCTGTACTGTCTCTTTGCGCTGTTGATTGCTCTACGGATATCATTTCCTGTACTCCTCCAAATCTCCAGCTCTGTGCGCGATGGTGCGTGCTTCCAGTTTGCCACGCACCTCGCCGTTTATCCAGGGCTTTTGATTTGGGAATGTTCGTACAGAAACCTTCGGTACCACGTCATCGATGCATTTCCCAATGTAGCAGATGACCGTGTGTGTGTTGCTGTTATTGTCCTCAAACACACTCCACTCCGTAGATTCGAAGCAGTGCTGCAGAGCTGAGTCTGACTCCTCACTCCATCACTGTACAGTCCGTGTCACCGGTCTGTCCCGTTTAAGTTTCTGCTTGTAAGCAGCAGCAGCAGCAGCAGCAGAGAGATGTGGTCTGATTTGTCGAAGGGAGGGCGAGGGAGAGCCTTATATCCATGTCGACAAGGGGAATAAACATGGTCCAGTGTATTTCCGCCACGCGTCGGGCAGCTGATGTGTTGAAAGTATCGCGGCAGAACTTTCTTCATATTGGCGGTGTTAAAATCCCCGGCCACAACCAACGCCGCCTCTGGTCGTGAAGTCTCCGTCCTGTCAATCACTCCAAACAGCTCGCCCAGTGCTGTGTTGTTGTCAGGGTAGCGGAATGTACACAGCTGTAATCACAACGGATGAAAATTCTCTTGGCAAATGAAAAGCCCGGCATGTGATCATGAGGTGCTCTAAATGAGGGGAACAGTCCGAAATAAATAATCTCCACATCTGTGCACCAGTCATTGTTAATCATGACACACACACCACCTCCCTTGCTTCTCTCTGAATTAGCAGTCCGATCCTGGCGAAATATAGAGAAGCCGTCAGGAACAATGGCGGAGTTGAGCCAAGTCTCCGTGAAAATGAACATGTTACAGTTCTTAATGTCCCGTTGAAAAGCAATCCTGCTTCTGAGTTCATCTAGCTTATTTTCCATCGATTGAACATTAGCCAGAAGAATACTCGGAAGAGGGGGTCGGTTTTCACGTTTCCTCAGCCTTGCTAGCAGCCCGGCCCGGGACCCTCGCTTTGTCTTCCTCCTGCGCCTCTCAGGTAGGACAGCAGCAGGCAGCCATGGCGGGTCTCCATATCTTATTCTATTTACATGTGTATGGACTCCTGCATGTACTTGGTCACTTACAACACTCTCTGCATGATTTGGCTTATTGTCATTGTTTACTCACATGTATGTAGTTTACTTTATCTTCACCTGCATTACTTGCACATTGGTGCAACCTGCACTATTCTACTCTTCTTGCACTATTTTAATCATCTTTTACAATTTGTTTTATGTCATATTATGTTGCATTGTTGGAGGAGCTCTGGACTTAAAGGAGACCTATCATGCTATATTTAAATGATATAGTGTATGACCATACCTATATAAGGTATATTTATACATTTTATTTTTCAAAATACCAAACAGATCATTTTTTAGCCATGCCTCGTTTCGCTCATTTTCGCTCTTTTCCAAGCCTGTCTTTGAAAATTCTGAGCAGCAGCTGACCACGCCCCCTGCAGAAGAGGGGGGCATGAGCCGGTGAGAGTCACGTTAACATGCTTGCTGTGATTACGAGTGTGGAATAAACATGTCATCTCAGAGCAATGCATGTGTTCAAGCGTATTATCAATTTGATCCAGAGACTGACCCTGAAGCAGCGGAGGTTTTGGTGGAGGTGGAAACATCTCGGTTGCAGCAGGACGTTTCTGAATGGTTAGTTGACAAGCTGTTGTTCCTATTTATTTTACTCTGTTACGATGCTTGCTACTTATTCCGTTCATATTTTGGCTAATTAGCAAGAATGCTATGTGTACAGTTTATAACTTAGAGCTTGTAACGCAAAAACAGCGATACATATATATATTTATAAAGGGAGACATTCATATTTTCAGCATATATACAATGGCCTCATTGCGTTTATTAATAGTTTACAGTCCTTTTCTTCCAACATCGTGCAACAACCGTTGGAAAGTTCAATAACTTAGGGTGATAAAAAGTATAACTCCAACAACACCTCAGTTGTCAGCAGTGTGTGTAGTTTCATGTGTTTTTAAAAGCTCAGTTATTGACTTCTTTCTACAGGTGTACATGTGCAAATTGCGCCACGATGCCTTCTGAACGGAGAATGTGTGCTGCATGGAGATACCACAGGTAACATTTTTGATAGCTTCACTAAGTTGTCTGTTTAGAGAATACATTTTTAACATGTCATTCAATATATCTTTATCACACTAGGTGTCAAGACGGATTCAGGAACTTGAGGACTCTATAACCTGTATGGTGGACCATCCTGGATTAGAGCCTGTGTGCCTGAATGTGTTCTCCCTGCAGAATGCATTGAATATTTACAGAGCTGAACATGGTGGACTACAGTTGAGGCAAATAGAGCAGTGAGTGGTTTGTTTCTTTTGACTGAAATTGTAAAACGAATGCTAATATTGTTCATGGAAATAAATACTGGTGTATATGGCTTTATGCAATCTTTCATTGTACATGTACTATTATATATATATATATTATTACACAGCAATGGCATAACACACCCATGTGTACGACAAAAAAAGTCCACACACAACCTTATGCTTTTGAAATCAGAATATTCTTTACCCATCCAAACATGAATAATCACGACACATTTGATATCAACTCTGAACTTTATTGTCAAAATGAACGGTTCTTTGAACCCATAAAAAAAAAAACGAAATGTACTTGTATTTTGTATAAATTACACTAAATATTTTTTTTAATGATTTCAGGCGTCACAGGTATCTAGCCTACAGAAGCTTTGTGAGCTGGTGCTGGGGCTTCCTTGGACGCAGGATCAGAGTGGTGATTCCGGTCTGCGTTGTCCTCAAGGAGGCAGGAGTTTCCTGATCCGCAAAATGTCGATGTTGGGTTCAGACAGCAGCCAAATTGAACCGTGTAGCATACCCGGCGATGACCTCGTCCCTGTCAGGTCGCTCATAATGGTGCAGGGTCCACAAAGACTTGGTCGAAGATGAGGTCCATCAAGTTGGCCACGTAGCCTGTGCAATGTTAAAAAAAAGCACAACAAAAAATGTGGTTTAGATTAGTATATGCATGTAAAAAACTGAAAGTTCTTTCTAATTTTATATTTGTAAATAGTTGTATAATAAATATTTTAAACACTTACGGAATGTGGGGTCAGTCTTTACTGGTTTTGCTCTGCATTCTCCCTTCCTGGCCTTTGGGAACTGCAGTTTATACAGAGGGTTTCCAGGGGATGTAGTGGCTTGTGCACGCTCAGCGTTTTCATTGTAGTGCAGGGCTGCCAGGTACAGTCTTTCATTTCCGCCATGAGAAAAAAAAAATGTAAATAATAGCAAAGGATGTACAAATTGTCACTAATTAGTAAGTATGTGAGGTGCTGGCCTGTAAAGAAGAAAACATAGTTAGAACAAAATCATCTCAATTTAGTATTCAGGATGAGAAAATACTATTTGGATAAATATCGTCTGAAATCCCAAAAGATGGGGCTTAAAACTCTCTATTTAGCAAAGCTCTTTGCTTAGCCTTTTCCAATCTGAGTTAGTTTTGAACCGTAACGTGCATGCTGTGTTTCTGACTCAATACAGATGATGTGTTGGAGAGGGGCTGAGCTCAGTAGACTGACTGTAATGAGTGCTAGCCACTAATTAGCCTGTTGCTAGGTAAGGCCTTGTCAACAACAACATACCAACGGGGCTTTAGCTCCGTTTTACTCGTGGTGTGTGTCCCCCCTCGCATACATACACACAGTGTTGTATCCTCACACACCCCCATTTATATTCATGTGCGCAAACAAGTAAACACACAAAAGCTTTTACATATAACGCTGCAAAAAAACGGCATGTCTCATTAGCGTAGCTTAGCTTACAGATCTGATCGTTCTTAGAGACTACAATCACAAAAGCTTTTACATATAACGCTGCAAAAAAACGGCACTTACCTACAGAAGATTACGTTTGTTATTATAACTTACTCAATATGATTTTAGAGGATACAAAATACTAATAAATAGGAGAATAAATACTTGTGTTATCGGCTAGGGCGTGGCTTTACAGCCTTCACACAGATCGCCATTACGGCAGTATGTCTGAACATGTTAGCAAATGCCTGATAATTAAAATAAAAGACAAAGCAAAGACTGCGGAGCGTACAATATAAAATGTTACAAAAACATATAAACACCTAACCGATTACTATTTGGGTTTGAGGCGACATTGATACGGTGAAGCTACATGCTACATGCTACATACTACAAGCTAGAGATAGCTTTATCAGGAAAAACACCGCTAAATAAAAACTTACAGCTTCAAAATTGGATGTGTCCTCACTGGCCTGCTCCCGGATGGTTGGTATTGATCCCGGCAATGCACGTGGCCGTGGCTCATTCCCCTGATAGGTGGAGAGTTGACCAATAAGCGGAGCACGTCTCTTTGTGACGTAGGAAAGTGTTGAAATCTGGATCCGTTTTTTTCAGATCCGTTTCAGCCACTTTTTTAGAGATTTGGCGAAGGAGGAAAATAGAGAAGGTTGTGTTTTCTGACACTTGGTGAGTTCCCTGGAACACCGGGGACACATATTCATGTATAAAAGACGTCCAAAGGTGCATTTTGCATGATAGGTCCCCTTTAAGCTTTTCAATGCATATCTACACTGTAGCTGTGCATATGACAATAAAGCCCTTGAATCTTGAATCTGACACAAGATCCAGTTTTTATTCCTGTAGCTCCTGTGATTAATTTTACTCCAGATAATTGACTTTCTTGTTGGAACAATGTGACCTAAATAAAATGAATTCTTTTTTATTCCGTGACAGATTTATTCCTGAAAACATGTCATCTTTAGGCAAAACAGTTGGTAAGATTAAGCACTATAGGCAACATTTATTAAGCACCATCCTTGTTTGCATGTCTTTAAACGGTACATATTATTTAAAAAGAAATAATAGCAATCCCATCATTTGTATTTGTGCCCGTAGTATGGGATTCCTCATCCTCACATGATGTGTTCTCTCCTCAGCTAACCTGAGCCGAGTGGTTCCTCATGGCCTCCTGGTGTTCTTTCCATCCTTCTCTGTGATGGAAAAAACCCTGGACTTCTGGAGAGTACGTGGGAATTCAGAACATCCTCTCACTGTTATTATATTTGTGTTTTTAATTGTTAGAGCTGAAATGAGTGTTTCCTTGTGAGATCATGTTCAGTGTGTGTGCCCCCCCAGGCTAACGGACATGCAGATCGCATTGAGACTGTAAAGCCCATGTTTGTTGAACCTAGAGGAAAGGGCACCTTTAATGAGGTGAGTGTGCTTTATTGAAATATTCAGAGGAGTATTTCTAGGGTTCCTCAAAGAAACCTTGAAGAAGCAGCAACTTCTCCTGAGCTGGTCCTGACAGATTTCTTTACAGGTCTGTCAGTTTGAGGGCTGATCTCTTCTCTCCTACTATTCTCAGGTTATGGACGGATATTACAACAAAGTCAATGATCCATCATCCAAAGGGGGAAGCTTTTTCGCTGTGTGCCGAGGAAAGGTGAGGCCAATGAGTCCGGAGAGCTGGAAAAATTCTGAAATGATTTGAAAAATCCAGTTTATCATTTTAGTCTTCTAAAGGTCAGACATCACATTATTCATAAAATGCAGTGTATATTGACATAAATGTACCATGGTCTTCTACAAACTTTAAAATCGTAACCTATGGTTAATGACAATAAATCCGCTTTAATAATAAACACTAGTCCTTTCATTTCTGAAAGGAATATGTCAGGCACAGATTCCTATATATTGACATGGATTTATAGAGTAATTTTCATCATATCACATATAGTAAGTATACACAAACACTTCCCTCTCACACCTATGACCAGGTGCCAACAGGCCACATGTGGGACAAAGAGTATGTTTGTGAGGGACAATGTAGGACATGTTACTGCGATGCACAGGACTGTTTGCACAAACAATGCAAGTGAAAGACTTACATTTATCTGGTTTGAATGGAGTTTTTTGCAATATGTGAGTTGAATTACATTGTGTTCACCTGCATGTGTGATTGAAAAAAACGTCATTAAAAACTCTCTGGGAATCGCCCTCCAATAGTTGAATATATTTCCAAAATGTGTTGATTGATTGACATCACAGCTAATGGTGCGTTGCCCTCTGTTGCTTTCTAAACAGCCACTGGATAAATACCCTGTTCGCCAGCTCATGGAGTCCTGTTGTGAACCTGGACATGTTGAGGACCCTAAAGTGTTATGATAGAAATGTATAGTAGGGTCCCCACTCCCCAGCACATAGAAACTGCCGGATGCTAACCTGAATTTGTTGGGCAATTGGCATAATTTGTGGATATTATGCTATAATTAGCATTTTAGTTTATGTCGCCAATAGTAAAACAAATATTTGAATGATTTGGACAGTTTTAGAGTGGTTCTGTTGTTATTAAGGATGCTGAATCCATTCAAGGTCAACAACAACATTTCTGGGTTCACAGTGCTGGCAGTGAGACTAAAAAGCCAAGTTTTAAAAGGGCAACTGTCAATCAAATTAGGGACATTGTCTCAATTTGTGGGATATGGGGGAATTGATAAAATGCTGTGCAGTCCAGCACAAAGCAGGACACCTGGTCACCCTACGCACACCATGTCTGTAAATGTGTTCCTGTGCCAGGCGAGTGAGGGTCTGGATTTTGCAGACACCTTTGGTCGGGGTGTGGTCATCACTGGCCTTCCTTTCCCCCCGAGGATGGACCCTCGAGTCGTCCTGAAGATGCAGTTCCTGGATGAGATGTGTCGGAAGAAAGCTCCTGGGGTGAAGGTGAGTGTTAGAAAAATATTACTCGTCACCGGCTTGAATTTCAATATTAGGATACATGCATTTATTATCCTTGCAAGAATGGAAGTAGTCATCACATACAGAGGTTGCATGGGACAAATAGTTCCCAGAACAGTGTCCTTCACATGCTTTTATACAAGAGAGTGTTACAGTCACAAGATGCAGAAATACCGGTTCAAAGCAGTATACACCAGAGCCTGTTTTAGATATTGTAACTACGCAAGGAATGAAACTTGAAGTGGTTACCTGTTACAAATACCTAGGTATCTGGCTTGATGATTGTCTCTCTTTTAAACGTCATGTCAATAACCTGCTTAAAAAGCTGAGGGTTAGGCTAGGTTTCTTCTACAGGAACAAGTCCTGTTTCTCGCTTGAGGCCAGGAAAAGGCTCTGTGACCTTTTTACCTGTGCTGGACTATGGTGATTTGATGTATATGAATGCACCTGCCAATTGCCTGGTCAAGTTAGATGCTGCGTATCACAGTGCACTAAGATGTGTTACTAACTGTAAAGCATTAACCCATCACTGTACCCTGTATGCAAGGGCTGGTTTGCTTTCACTAACTGTACGGAGGCTCAGTCACTGGTACATTTTTATATACAAAGCCATGTTAGGGAAACTTCCATCTTATATCTGCTCCCTGATCTCACGGAAAAGTGTAAGTGGCTACTGCCTGAGATCGAATGCTGTGGTTTTATTAAATGTGCCAACTGCTAGGACTGTCTTAGGGAAGACAGCTTTTAGATGCGCAGCTCCTCTGTCTTGGAATAGTCTGTAAATTAAATGGAAACTGAGCAATCTGGTGCCACTAAATGTTTTTAAAGCTCGGTTGGATGCTACTCAATCGGAAGCTGTTGGTACCTGTTTATGTGGATAATTATGTAAATGATGCTGTATGATGTCCTTTTGTTGTTCTATTTATGTTTTTATGTTTCATGTGAAACTACTTGAGCAGGTCTCCCTTGAAAAAGAGATCAATGATCTCAATGGGATTCACCTGGGTAAATAAAGGTTTGAATGAAATGAAATACAATGTGTAGTTCAGATTAGCTAAGGCCCACGTAAGCAATAAACATGACAGTCATTATGCATACTGTATCTCCATAGAGGCTGAATCATCATGTTAATCGCATAGCTATCATATGCCTCAAACAGTCCTGATGCTCTTCTAGGTGATCACACATCCTGTCATGTTCACAGCTACAGTTGGGATACCTTTGTTATCATGTTACTCTCATATTAGAAGAGTGCATTGAGTTTCACTGAAGTGTGTGTGTGTGTGTGTGTGTGTGTGTGTGTGTGTGTGTGTGTGTGTGTGTGTGTGTGTGTGTGTGTGTGTGTGTGTGTGTGTGTGTGTGTGTGTGTGTGTGTGTGTGTGTGTGTGTGTGTGTGTGTGTGTGTGTGTGTGTGTGTGTGTGTGTGTGTGTGTGTGTGTGTGTGTGTGTGTGTGTGTGTGTGTGTGTGTGTGTGTGTGTGTGTGTGTGTGTGTGTGTGTGTGTGTGTGTGTGTGTGTGTGTGTGTCAGTACCTGTCTGGGCAGGAGTGGTACAGCCAGCAGGCTTTCAGAGCTGTGAACCAGGCCATTGGCAGAGTCATTCGCCACAAGGACGACTACGGAGCCATCCTGCTGTGTGATCAGAGGTCAGACACACATCACTTAACACAGCCGATCTGTACACCTAAAACATTCATTTAGTTGATTGATCAAAAGAAAAAGAAATCTGCAGATCAAGAAATATTTTGTAAAAATGCCAAACATTAACTAGTTTGCCCTTTTCAGTTGTGATGGTTTCCTGCTTTCCCTGGACACTACATATGTTGGTTTTCCGCTGTTGGTCAGACCCTAACCCAAACACAGGGTCAACAATTCAGCCACAGTTTTTAAAATAATAATTGCCTAAGATCACCAATTTCCTGACCTGAGTTTTAAATATTTGGCATGGCAGGCGCTGTCTAGTAATTGGATATATATTGAATTATAGTGGACACTAGGAGGCCAGACAGCAGATATATCCGCTGTCTGAAGTCCATCTGTGCAGCTGCCAGATCCACAGAGTCCTGCGGTCTCATACATTATTCATGCTACAGTACTATGATAGCTTGCACATCTTCCGGCGCAAACTGAAAACTCATCTCTTTCGACTCCACTTCGAGCGTTAGAACTATTAACGAAGCACTTTTATACTAATAAAGGACTGGCTTATCTAAAGCCAGTTGAGTAGCACTTGAAATGTTTGGCTCTATGAAACCTGATGTACTTATATGATTCTGTTTTCTGCAAGGTTGTGTCTTCCTGGTCGAATGTACTTATTGTAAGTCGCTTTGGATAAAAGCCTCAGCTAAATGCAATGTAATGTAATGTAATGTCACCAATGTTTACTTACAGTGAGAAGCAGTAGAGAGACAAACCCCATAACTATAACGCTCATGGTTCATGACAGAGGTGTAAACAATGAAATAAATCATCGCTGACTTCTATTCAGCTGCTTCACTTTCACGATCCTGGTTTAGACCCCTCTCATAGACATTTAGCAGAAATCCTAGCTGGATTGTAGCCGAGCCCATGTTTGGTGTGAGGGACATGATATAGAATAACTTGACCTTCCCCACAGGTTTAAAAGCTCGAATGCACGGGCCCAGCTTCCCTCCTGGGTCAGGCCTTACGTGCGTGTGTACAGCAGCTTTGGGAATGTGATCCGAGACCTGTCCCAGTTCTTCAGGGTGGCCCAGAAACTGGTAGGTTTCTCAGTCTTCAGTTAACAAGGATGCTACCATTGCTTGCATTGACTTTGTTTGTTGGTCTTACATTTAAAAGCTTTGTGATGTCTGATGTGAGTGCAGTACACTGTAACTCACTAACTCACTAAGCATAAACAATATGTACTTATATATTCATAAAGAATAATAGTAATGTGTGTTTCCAGAAATCAGGATATTGTAGGTAAAATCCTCAAATACAAATCCATGTCCAACTCGTGTCTCAAATCCTGCTTTAAATGATGTTGCTATAGCAACCACAGCAAAAATGCATTAGTGCAGTAGTGATCAATGATATACTACTGCAACAGGAGATTACTCGTAAAGTAGAATCTCAAAGTTGACTTTTCATACCCAAGCTTAATGGACTACTCACATTATTATTACAATATCCCCATCCCACCCCCCCACCCCCCTTAATTTTGGTCTCAATAATACAGCTGTAAAGTTGTGTGCGTCATGTATTATGCTCTTAACCTTTTATTTTTATTTTTTATATTACCATATTTTATTCAATATGCTCCTTTTAGATATCTTGATAATTGTGCTATATAAATCAAATGTATTATTATTATTAATATTATTATTATTTATCATTCCACGTAGATAGACTCGACCCCACTGCCACTGTGTGATATCTCAGCACATATATATATATATATATACGTATATACATACATACTCTGAGTGGAGTCCAATGCAGTTTGTCAGCTTATATTGACTGTCTGTGTTTGACTGTGCCAGAGGCCTGTGGCAGAGAAGAAGGGTGCAGCAGAGAGCTGTGAGGCAGTGTGTCTATCAGCCCCTCTGTCCTCCTGCTCCACTTCCTGCTCACCATCCCAAAGCTCCATCACCCAGAAGGCCAAGGTGCTGGACGCCCACCTCCCCAGCCTGAAGAGGAAGAGACTGAGTGAGTACAGAGATAAAGACAGAGCTGCTTTAAACCCCCAGAGGAAGGGTGAGTCCTTCACTGACCTGATACTCCTCTGGCATCTGCTCTCTGATCAGATGACCACTCTGGAGCCGCTGGGATGGCCAGGATCTGTGTGGAGTATGAGTGTGAGCTGCAGGAGAGTCAGAGGAGGCCCGCCAACCTGCTGGATGCTCTGGAGCGGGGGGACCACCACAGTGGGGAGGACGAGGGTGCTGCTGTGGGAGAAGAGAAGGTACTGTACTGCTCTGTGCATTTACAGAGATACGCTTTGTGCAAAAATCAAGACCTGATGAAAGCCAGATATAATACATGTGTGGCACAATCAGTGTTGGGGGTAATGTGCTACAAGTAACGCAGATTACATTTTTGTCTGTAACGTTTTAATGTAACGTGGTTCTGTTGACAACAGCAGTAATCACATTACAGTTACTTAGCACAAAATTATCTCGTTACTCGCGTTACTTTAAGGCAGGGGTGTCCAAACTGTGGCCCTGGGTCCATTTTAATTGGCCCTCAGCTAATTCTAAAAGTATAATGGAATGTGACCCACACATGAAGCTTGTGCTTGAGTTATAATGTACCTCTTAAATATATATCTAAACATATATTACACAGTATTCATGTGTTAATAAGCATCGGGGAGGAAATGATGCCTGTTTCCACGGTGGAATCGCAATCTTTCCAAAACACGTTGAGTAAGATACAGGTAACTGGCGGGCGCCATCAGACAGGAAGACTTGAAGCTACCTGTATGAAGGTAGATATGGTGCAAAATGCAAGAGCTTGTAAAACCTGATGTGAGCACTTGCAGAAAATAAATCTGAGCTTGTGTGCATACATTTACACTTGTATACAAATTGTAGTGGCATCAAGGGTTTCCTTTTGCCACTAGAGCGGGGTTGACAGCACGCAATCCAAAACAATAAGCAGCCGAAGGTTTTCAGTCAAAAAAATGTAATTTATTAACAAAAAAGTATTGACTTAAATAGTCTCAAAATAACAAATCTTAAACAATATTTCGGCTATATACTTTCCTATATAAACTAAACTATACTTTGTTTGCAGTCCAATTTGCAACACCAATCTCTGTCTGCAATTTGCGGTCGAAAAACTGTTCCGCTCCCCGTCTCATCAGGTCTCCGAGCACGCCGGCTGTCCTCAATTACCTCACTTAAATACACACCGGAAGGTACAAGTGAAAACAGATCATATTTACGATATAAAATTAACAATCATTTCATCAAAACATATTCACCATGGAAATATAAATCATTTTCCATCATTAAATCATTTATCAAATTATGAATCGAAATAATAACTTTGTGGCTCAAATATCCACGTATCTGTGAACCAAATTTGAAGTCACAGAAAGAAAAAAAAAAGTTGACAAAAAAATTCACTTAGTGATCAAATGTTCACTTGCAGAAAAATATATTTTTTTAAAATATATTTTCCATTACAACTGCAACTTGGCTATTACAACCTCTCAAATCAGTCATTACAACTTGACGAATCTGCTCTGTGGCAGTACAAATCGACGAATCTGCGGTCTTGACTTTTGCTACACTTCTTGCAATGAATGTGTCGCTAAAGTGTGTGGTTGCGTTCTAGTCACTTTGCTCAGCGCTACTGCTTATTTCAACTTGTATTTGCCGTAGGACTACTCTCCATGAACTGTTAGCTCAGGTTAATCTCACATTTTTTCGAGCTTGGTAAGAACCGGTTTTCGGCGAAAAGAGCCGTCTCCGCTGCTGCGCGAACAGGAAAACCCGGTGCTTTTCAGGCTGAAGCTCCAAACTGGCCCTGGAACCGAGTTTATGTGAAAGGGGCAACATCCGGTTCGACCTGACTATGGCTGTATGACTGACCCGAGCTTGCGCCTCGTCGTTCTGATAGCTCCGCCCCTTCCTCCCCGCACATCTACAGGTGGAAATTACTTTAGCGACACATTCATCGCAAGAAGTGTAGCAAAAGTCAAGGCCGCATATTCCATGGGAGCCTGCCTGCAGGCGCCAGTCTCAGGACACCTCCACTCCAGGGTTTCCGCTAGGATTTTTTCTCGCCGGTCAAATGTCCGGAAAGAATTTATTTTACCGGACAAATTTGAAACTTACCGGTCATGTTTCAATAATAATAATAAAAATTGTGTAGCAGAGTTTCCGTTAGCAGGTAATCACCGGACTAGGACCGGATATGCTGATGTTTAAAACTCAGTTAATGGGAGTCATTTTTATATTGCTTCAGTTTATAATCATAACAGATCGAAAAATTCGGATTCATTTTTCAGTATATGAACAACAAACAACAAAACAACAAACAATATAATTATTACATTCAAAGAAACTACTTGTAGATGAAGTACATTATTCAAAAGTTTACATTAACTTTGAATAATAACACGGGAGAAACGGATCCTCTCTTTTCCCCTCTCCCTCCCTCTCTCTCCTGACAGCCCGTCAGTTTCTCATGCAGCGCACTAAACAGTGGGCGGGGCTTCAGGTGATTATGCAGAGCTGATCTGATCTCTCTCTCTCGTCCGGTTACACTTCACTCGCATTTATGTCCATATCGATCAGATCCAGCTCTCTTGATCGGCCTTTATAGAGAGCACAGATCAAACTATTAAAATTGAATATTGGCCGATAATGACCGGCGGCCGATCTATCGGAGCATCGGACATTTTGACCGGCAGGTTTTGAATTTACCGGTTTTTATTAAATCTTACCAGCTAAAAACTGGTAATTACCGGCTAACGGAAACCCTGCTCCACTCTCAGGACAGGAAGTGCATGCACGCTAAGAATGACAAAATAAAATCGCCACTATCAGTACAGCGCCACTTTCCGAACAGGAAATGCACGCAAATACAAAATAAAATCGTACTGACACTTATAACATATGTATTTATATTTGTATTTTATATATAAATAGGGACACCTTGTATCGTTTACTCTCAGTACAGCACCACTTTCCGAAAAGGAAATGCACGCTAATACAAAATAAAATTGCACTGACACTTATTATATATATATATACTGTACACTGAACAAAAATATAAACGCAACACTTTTGTTTTTGCTCCCATTTTTCATGAGATGAACATGAAAACATTTTCTATTTACACAAAATAACCATTTCTCTCAAATATTGTTCACAAATCTGAAAAAATCTGTGATAGTGAGCACTTCTCCTTTGCCGAGATAATCCATCCCACCTCACAGGTGTGGCATATCAAGATGCTGATTAGACAGCATGATTATTGCACAGGTGTGCCTTAGGCTGGCCACAATAAAAGGCCACTCTGAAACGTGCAGTTTTGCTTTATTGGGGGGGTCTGGGGGGGTCCGAAAACCAGTCAGTATCTGGTGTATGGCTGGACACAGGCCGGTGGGGCGACACCCGAGACCGGGCAGTGTCCCCGGTAGAAGGAACCGGGTGAAATTGCCACAAAAAAAAAAATTAATAAAACCGGGGAAAAGTGAAAAAAATAGGCACTCATGAGGCGGACAGTCAACTCCCGTTACATTCCTCCATGGTGTCATTTGAGCCAACTTTTGCGAGAACCAGGCTGGGGGGGTCAAAAGGGCTTGACCAAGACCGACCCAAAGTGCATGGTGAGCGGACTCATCACCTCCGTGATGAGTCTCCATTGTGATTTGAAAACTTCCATCAGACGAGTCCTTCGGGGGGCGGGGGAAAAAACTTATTCGTGAGAATCGTCACTTCCTGTACTGAGAGTGGAGGTGTCCTGAGAGTGGAGGCCTGCAGGCAGACCCCTCTCGCTGATTCATCAATTTATACTACCACAGAGCAGATTCGTGAAGTTACAATGACTGATTTGAGAGGTTGTAATAACCAAGTTGCAGTTGTAATGGAAAATATATTTAGTTCATTTTTTTTGTACAAGCTACACATTTTTTTTTTTCTGTGACTTCAAATTTGGTTCACAGATACGTGGATATTTTATACAAGTGTAAATGTATGTAAGTGCTCACATCAGGTTTTACAAGCTCTCGCATTTTGCACCATATCTTCATATACCTGGACCAGTGTTATGATGAAACTGAGCTAAAGAAAACATGGCTGGTGTTCAGACAAAGAGCAGAAACAGAGGTCTGTGTTCAGTATTGTCCTGATTAGATTAGGGTTTATGCTAATCTGGCATAAATGAGGTTTCACTTTATATTGTTATTTGTCTATGATTCATAGTGCCTCTCAGGTGATGCTACAGAGTAGACAAAAGTAATGTTACTAGTAGTGTAACTAATTACTTCAGCAGTGAGTAATTTAGTAAAGTAAGGTAAAGTACTTTTTTTTTTAAGAAGTAACTAGTAATGTGTAATGCAATCATTTTTTGATAACTATCCCAACACTGGGTACAATACCATTCTACTGTCTAAAATAGCACGTGTGTGAAATGGGTCAGCATGGTTTTTAGTGACGTTGTGATCTGCAATGAAACATTTTTCCATGAGGAATATACTCATTTGTTGAAATGATCTTCTTTTCCTTTTAAGGCAAACCATTTGTCCACTCTGTCTCTGCAGTGTGATAAGAGGATGGACGATGAAATGCGGGGAGGAAAACGTAAAATCAAACTGGTCCAGCAACAGGTGGAGTACATTTCAAAGGCATCGGTTGCAGGTGCTCCTTTCTCCATGCTTCACACCACTCATCATGATCTCTGTTGGCTCTGTAGGGCCACAGTGTTGCTGTGCACTCAGAGATCCACACCCAGTACACAGCCATGTCCTTTGGGATGCAGTAACACACATACAGCACGGTGAAGTCACTGGTACAGACAGTTGCACTTTGTAAAACTAACAGTCTACCCGTTAATATTACATCTGTTGTAGACAAGGGTAGTTAAAGGGCATTTTTTTGCTTCACCACTGAAACATTGTATATATATGTTATTATTTATTTTGACTTTTTATCACCCATGACATGTAGCGCTAATTCAAAAAGCAGGACAGTCTGAGAAAAGCACAACTACAGTAGCTGCGGTGCGCCTTTTGTAGACTAGGGGTTATAAACTCAATTTTAAAAATGTATTTTACAGTAAAAGTGTTAATATTACTTGAATCAACACTGACAGAACATACTTAATAAACCAGAGGGGGACCGTTACACTTCCATGACAATCTGACTTAAATGGGAAATAGACATGCATCAACTCCAGCCAACAGCATCCCTGACAGCCACTACGGGGCGTCTCTGTGCCTTTTCTTTCACAAAGTAGAACACTTCTCTGTGCCATTATGTTAGCGTTAATGGAAATGAGAGTGTGTCTGTGTGGGGGTTACGTTACACGTTTATCCTCAACCAACAGGGCAGGTTGCCCCAAGGACCAAAAAGGTCTGTGTCCGGCCATTCTGAACTTCAACTGTCCCCCAAGGTGTTGATCAAACCTTGGGCAAACACATTTAACCATAACTTCACTTATTGTACATTGGAAAATACCTTAGCAAAAATGGCTAGCTTGACTACACATTTATGAATTATTATTATTTTGGAATTTGGTTTCAGTGTATTTTTATCTAAAATGAAATGTTATATTGTATAGTACCTGGTAGTGTTCAGGACATAAGCTCATTATAAATATGCTGGAGAGATATTTGGCTCGATTTGTATTACTATATTAAAAAGGATTTTCAGTGAACATTGCAGGTGTGAACATTGCAGGTGTGAACATTGCAGGTGTGAACATTGCAGGTGTGAACAGTGAGTTTTTCTCCCTCTTGTAGAAGAAGTCGCAGGTGTCGGAGGCGGTCTCTGGGGAGGGGACCTCCAGCAGGGTGAAGGGTTTCCTGGCAGAGATGAAGAAGTCTCTGAGCCAGTGCAACTTTGAGCAGATCGTTCAGACTCTGCAGACCTACAAGAAGACTGACGACCTGGACATGCTGCTGACGGACACGGCGGTGCTGACGGAGGACGCCAACACCTACAGCCTGCTCCGCGGTAACACTTCTGATACTGCATGCACTGCATTTCAGACTAATGTTAATCTTATTCAAGAGTAAAGCCTCAAAATGGATAAACAAACTAACCCTTAATTATGTCATCAAGTGACACAAAAACATCAAGTTCTATTATAGGGAATGGGAACCGTGGTGCATTTTGGGGCGTTGCGGCCATCTGAGGAGGATAGCGTCTATAATACGACCTCCTAACGACCTCCTAACCTATCAAGCTCTCCTCTCCTCTTTCTCTGCTTCGATCTCTCAGGCAAAAAGCACTTTCTTTCAAGATAAGATCCAATCTTCCTATTCCAATCCTAAAAAACTATTTTCCATCTTCTCCTCCCTCCTGGACCCCCCCAAAGCTCCTCCCCCCTCCTCACTTCTGTCAAGCGACTTTGTTAACCACTTTGAAAAAAAGGTTGATGATATTCGCTCTTCTTTTTCTGACACACCTATACTCACCGCTGGGTCACCAGACCCTCCTTCCACCAACACACTCACCTCCTTTTCCCCTCTCTCTCCAAGTGAGGTTCTTACCCTCATTACCTCTGCCCGCCCTACCACCTGTCCTCTGGACCCTATCCCTTCAAACCTCCTTCAGACTATCGCTCCTGATATTCTACCGTTCCTCTCCCATTTCATCAACACTTCTCTAACTTCTGGTCACTTTCCAAACAGTCTCAAGGAGGCAAGAGTAAACCCTCTCCTAAAGAAACCCACTCTCAACCCGTCTGATGTTATAAACTACAGGCCTGTCTCTCTCCTCCCGTTCCTGTCTAAATCACTTGAACGCGCTGTCTTTAAACAACTCTCCTGTTATCTCAATCAGAACAACCTTCTGGATCCGCACCAGTCTGGTTTCAAGGCAGGTCACTCCACAGAAACTGCTCTCATTGCTGTCACGGAGGAACTGCACACTGCTAAAGCAGCCTCCCTCTCCTCTGTCATCATCCTTTTGGACCTGTCTGCTGCATTCAACACGGTGAATCATCAGATCCTCCTTCGCACTCTCCAAAAACATGGAGATTCAGGCTCTGCACTTTCCCTCCTCACCTCATACCTGAAAGACCGCACCTACAGGGTTACTTGGAGAGGGTCCGAGTCCGACCCTTGTCAATTAACTACAGGGGTCCCTCAGGGCTCTGTTCTTGGTCCCCTCCTCTTCTCCCTGTACACAAACTCGCTCGGATCAGTCATTAGCCCGCATGGTTTTTCTTACCACTGCTACGCTGACGACACCCAATTAATTCTGTCCTTTCCCCGCTCAGAGACCCAGGTCGTTGCACGCATCTCTGCTTGTCTAGCTGACATCTCTCAGTGGATGTCTGCTCATCACCTCAAGCTCAACCGTGACAAGACTGAGCTGCTCTTCCTTCCGGGAAAAGATTGTCCCACTCTTGACCTAACAATCAACATCGGCACCTCAGTTGTTTCCCCGACTCAGACTGCAAGGAATCTGGGTGTGACCCTAGATAACAACCTGTCCTTCACTGCAAACATCGCTGCTACAACCCGTTGCTGCAGATACACGCTTTACAACATCAGGAAGATACGTCCCCAGCTGACACAGAAAGCGACTCTGGTCCAGGCTCTCGTCATCTCACGCCTAGACTACTGCAACTCCCTCCTGGCTGGTCTACCTGCATGTGCCATCCGACCTCTGCAGCTCATCCAGAATGCAGCGGCTCGTCTGGTCTTCAACCTTCCTAAATTTTCCCACACCACTCCGCTCCTCCGCTCCCTTCACTGGCTTCCGGTAACTGCTAGAATCCACTTCAAGACACTGGTACTTGCTTACCATGCTGCGAATGGATCTGGCCCTTCCTACATCCAGGACATGGTTAAACCGTACACCCCAGCGTGTGCACTACGCTCTGCATCAGCCAAACGACTCGCTGCACCCTCGCTGCGAGGGGGACCCAAGTTCCCATCGGCAAAAACACGTGGGTTTGCTGTCCTGGCTCCAAGATGGTGGAATGAGCTCCCCATTGACATCAGGACCGCAGATAGCTTGCACATCTTCCGGCGCAAACTGAAAACTCATCTCTTTCGACTCCACTTCGAGCGATAGAACTATTAACAAAGCACTTATATACTAATAAAGGACTGGCTTATCTATAGCCAGTTGAGTAGCACTTGAAATGTTTGGCTCTATGAAACCTGATGTACTTATATGATTCTGTTTTCTTCAAGGTTGTGTCTTCCTGGTCGAATGTACTTATTGTAAGTCGCTTTGGACAAAAGCGTCAGCTAAATGTAATGTAATGTAATGTAATAATACAGCACCAGCGTCAAATATATCAGCGGTTTCCATTCGAAATGAATAAAGAATGTGTGAAATATAAATGCCCTTACACAGAGAAGCTGTTTGCAGGAACAGAGGAGTGTTATTCAAAAGGAGAAATGAATTATTAACATCTACCTGATAACGGTTACTGATGTCGGTCCTCTCTGGTGTTTGAAGTTAGCAGTGTTCCCAGTGTAGTGCTTTATGTTCCTGTAGTAAACACATTCAGCGCCTCTTGCTGATAGTTTAAAAGAATAAAATGAAATCCCATTGTCATTTTACGTTTGTTTTTTGGTGAAAAGCGTGGCAGTGCCAGCGACATAAGAGGGCCTACCGAATGTTTAAAAGGTTTTAAAGTGAAAAAGTGATGGCTTCTCCGCTGTCCAGGTTAAGTGGAAAGATTGTGGTTGCTAGTATCCTCCAAAGATGACAGTTAACACATTCCCATTCCCTATTGCACAGAATAATATGAATATGTTTGGAGTGTCTGCCATGTTGATGTGTGTCTCTCAGGCCTGTACCAGTTCATCCGGCCCCATCACAAGCAGAGGTTTGACGAGCGGTGCAGGGACCTGACGGGGGGGGGCTGCGGCTACGAGCCCAGCCACTCTCTGTCTGTGGAGGAGAAGAAGGCCCTGCTGAACAGCGGTACAACACTGCACGCTGCATATTTACTAAATGTGTTTGACATATTCTCACATTTCATGAACATGAAATGTCTTTTTTTGATTCATGTGTTAGTCAACATAGTTTTTAAATGTTTGGGTATTTTTGCTTTCAAATGTAAATCAAATTAAAAACGTTTCTGTAATAATTCATATATAGATGGCTAAATTATTAATGATTCCTGTAGACAGAGCGATACCATAATACTTTATTGTCAGATCGAGTCGGACATTTTCCTTGTATCCATTGGCAACATCAACAAGGACACATACTAAGACAAGATACACAGAAACAGACATTTAACCAAACATCACGATCACTGAAGAGAACATGTTCAAGACCCTCTGACGTACATTAGATCTGGGATTACCTCTGTGATTGATTTTAGGATGACTGGTGCACAAAGGAGAGTTTCAGTCTGACCTTATTCAAATGTGGGACTCAGATGTGATAGTAACAATTCATACTCACTGTACAGGACATGGTTGGGTCAGAGATGATGTTAATATGTTGTTATGGTCGGCTGGTTATTAAAATCTCTCACAGGGTTGACCTACAATCTTTGAGCAGATTAACTGGTGGAGCAGTTTGGACTTTAAAGCGAGAGACAAACACTTGTACCAGGTAGTATTGCAGTGCTGTAGAACACTCACAATCACAGATGTAAAGAACAACAAGAGTTTGTCTGATAAGACCAGAAAGACCTAAAGAAAATAAATGATTTGTTTTGTCCTTTTGCAGATATATTCCATTTGGTCTTTTCATGACAGAAGAGTACACTGGCAGTAGGAAAGGAGGGCTAATCTGTATCTGTGTTTGTGTGTTCTCACAGCTGCAGTCAGACGGCCTGCCGTGAGTGTGACCCCCCCCCCCCTCCACCTGCAGTCAGCTGAACACAGAGCAACTCAACAAGGGAGGACTCCACCTGAGCCAGAGGCCTCACACTGGTATGACATCACACCCTCTACCTGTAGAGTTCACTAGGCGAGTGGGGGTGTGCAGTGAATTTAACACCACGTCATTAAGTTCTTCATGTTCACATGTTCAGCATGTTATAGTCATTACTCAAAAGACAAACGGAGCATGACTTATCATGAGTTTATGTCGAGTAAATGTTTGTGGTGTTTGTGGAAGAGAGGAATCAGCTCCATGGTAACACTGGCTGATGTGCTCCATTTAAACAAGGGCAAAGAGATTCACTCCATGTTCTGGGAGAATATTTTATTTTCAATAGCTAAAAAATACAACTTGTTTAGCTGGGAAAACATTATTAAACATGCAAATGCTTACCTTCTGTACAAGTTTATACACTGACTTCACCTCCACTCAGACTGCAGATAGGTTAACAAGAGGTGCAGCGAGAGGAGATGCATTATTCCACTCCGGAAAAGTTATTTAAGTCAGTCTGCATTTTCTGTTAAAGCTGCACAACAATGGAACTCAATCCCAGGTAAACACTTAGAACAAAACACATTCGGTTTATTGAAATCATGGTTAGTGAGCAATCAGCTCTGTCAACACTGAAAATAAATCTTCTTGCTATTTAATATGTATGTTTTGTTGCATTGTTTTTTATTAGCATTTCCAGTATAGTAAGCCTCTATGTTGCATGTTTTACTGATTGTATTTACAAGTCCTTCTTGACTGACAGAGAAGATGGTGCAGCTTCTGTCCTAGTTAGACACATTGTGGCGCTCCGGGGGGGTGCTAACTGTCCAGCCGTATTTAATCATTACTATCAGTGCTAATACTAAGCTATAGGACACACAAACATGTGGCTTTAAATGGTGACTGTATTGAAGTTTTAATGTAAATGATATAAATATCTATGGACGGTTATTGATGAAAAACTGAACAATAGCACTGCAGGATGACACTGTTCATCCTGCAGCTTCAACAGGTCTGTACAGTGTTGTGTCAAAGAAAAGGTTACAGGCTACAATCTGACCACGGACCTCTTGAAGAACATTTTGAATCTTCAGCTGTTCTGTAGCATTAGATCAGGGGTGGGGAACCTTTTTCCTCTCAAGGGCCATTTCAATTTTTCCAACATCCTCCGAGGATGAATGATTGACCTCTGATTAAAAATACTAAAATCACAGCCCATTCATTTGACCTTTCTTTCATGCTGTGCAAAGAAAAAGCAACCTCTTAATCCAAATATCTCACCATGACTCGCGCATGCATGCACGTGCACGGTGTGGCATGACCACCAAACAGAAAGATATGGACACAAGATGTGTGCAAATGTATTTAGATTCGAGGGGGGGTCCTCACCTCCTCTAGGGGGGTCCGGGGGAATCAGGAAGATTTTCTTTTTAAATATTGAAGTTGAAAGCATCAATCTGCTGCATTTTGAGAGCAACATTAGGAGATCTATGGAAACATCTCTCAACACCCATATGAAACAGAACTGTAAACAGATTGACTTTTTCTTTATGGATATTTTACAAATCACTCTCCTTTCAAACTGTATTCTTGTTTATTAATAACAACTTTTTGTTACTGTCATATAGTATTTTATACCTGTTTACTTTATTCTCTTATTTTTTTATAACTATAATGATCATATAAAGATGTGCCTTTACCTCACTGGTTGTAGAAAAAGCTTCTTATATTCGTTAGCATAGCTAGCTAACCAGATGCTAATAACAACAAAGTTATTGACTGTATGATCAGAATGACAGATGAACAGATCGCCACTGGGCTTACAACTAAAGACACAGCCACACAAAAACTGCGGCATGTGTAGCTTACGGACTTATGGGTACTGACATTTCTGAAGTGCCGGAGTGGCGTTCTGGTGCTCTCCGTCAGCACTACACCCCTGTCAGACAAGACATATACCACGTGATGACACGTTAGGCTTGTGTTGTGTTCAAGGACCCTGACCTTGGCCAGGAAAAAAAGGCACTCGCTTGTTTAATTATTTTGCGGTCTAGATTTCTTCAATTTTCTTTTTGCCGTGTGTTTATATATTACCTGGAGGGTCGTACCAAATGGTCTCGCGGGCCATATACGGCCCGGGGGCCGGAGGTTCCCCACCCCTGATCTAGATGATCCATGCTTGAAATCATCTATTCCGGTTTTTAAGTAAAAAACATGTTCGTTCACACACACACACACACACACACACACACACACACACACACACACACACACACACACACACACACACACACACACACACACACACACACACAAGTTACACACGCACATATCTGATGCAGTCCCTGGGCTGACACTGTACACACCTTAACATTACACTTATTTGACTAAATTCAATACCTTTATTTAACCAGATTGGTCCCTTGAGATCATAGATCTCTTTTTCAAGGGAGACCTGCAAATACTAAACACTAATTGTACTCTAAATTGTTTTCTAAAACAGAGCACTTTGTTAAGGGAAATTCTACTCCAACAACAGGGTACAGCTTTTTAACCGTTGTCTTGTATTTGGTTCTTGATTGTTTGTGAAGTTGGGGCTCACCATGTTGTTGATGTCCTTTTGCGATGCCTTTTTTTTTATATTCACACAAATGTTTACTATAATGATGACAATTTCACTCAAATGTCTAATGGATGAAAAAGCTGAAGTGATGCCAGGGATGCACCTGTACTGAATGGTGGAGGCAATGTGTTGTTGTGTTTGTTTGATCAAGAGGAAAGAAAGACCAAAACTCTATCTGTGTTTGTGTGTTCTCACAGCTGCAGTCAGACGGCATGCTGTAGGTGTGACCCCCCCCCCCCTCCACCTGCAGTCAGCTGAACACAGAGCAGCTCAACAAGGGAGGACTCCACCTGAGCCAGAGGCCTCACACTGGTATGACATCACTAGAGTTCAAAGTTCAAGATGCAAAGACTTTATTGTCATATGCACAGTGTTTAGAGTCGGAGAGGTCCTGATAATTTATTCCGGTAAATTACTCTGACCTCCTAATTGACCTTTCCGAAGATTATTGAGTCTATGTAAGTTTGCTGCTTGGCTCAGATCCACCAACGTCAGCAAGATCTCACCTCTTCCTAACCCCCCCGAAGAACCAGGTTCAATTAACTGCTGTTTCAATTCAGACAACTCTTTTTTAATCTGTTTAAGCGATCCCGAAGGATTTTGATATCAGTAAATGGAGTGTGCTCCTACCTAAGTGTGTGTGGCAGGGTGCAATCTTACCTTTGACGCAGGAGAGGAGGGCACAGGTGTCTTTTAAAGGATCCCAATCCAACAGGTGGGATTCAGTTTATTTGAAGAAAAATAGGTCCAAACTAATACAGGGTTTTTACCTTCTCTCTCACAACATTATAATCATCCTAACAAAAAACCGTGCTGTGATCATGTTCAAATGAAACTTTAATTCACAGTCTTACATTTATTACCAAAATGTTTTAATTCCAACTGCCCATTTCAGTTGTGACATTTTAAAATTCTCCCGATAGAATTTAGAGGTATTTCCTCGTAAAAAGACCGGTGACAATAAAAAGCGCATTCAACTTTCCATTCACCCATTTATTCACATCAGTTTCATACCGTTTTTTCCGACACAGACGGCGGATTAACACTCAAAAACCCATACCTGTCCGCAAAATTCGGGGGACCAGATTTTCCCCACAGGTCGCGGTATTTATAAAGGTTCATACACTTTTTCCGACACAGACGGCGGATTAACACTCAAAAACCCATACCTGTCCGCAAAATTCGGGGGACCAGATTTTCCCCACAGGTCGCGGTATTTATAAAGGTTCATACACACATCTCTCATCAAATCATTCCACTCAGCCAACAACCAATAAATTCGAGAGATATTTACCCCGTCTAGAAGGACCTTACCGAGAGCTATTAACCCAGCTCTGAAGCACACAGCCTGCCGGGAGAGAGTCTACCAGGGGTCAACCCCCCTCTCTCTCGCTCTCTCAAAAAACCAGTCTCTTTATGTTAAAAAAACTGGATCCTAAACCCAAAAAAACAAACTCCTCCTCTTCACGTAATTTGTGAAGAACTGCGCATGTCCTATAATGTACAAGGCTGAACATGCCTCAACATGTTCCACAGCTGTTATGGGATAAGACACCCTTTCATATGAGGTAAAAAAGACATGAACTCTCTTTGGCCTCTTAATGTGTCTCCTTAGTGTGAAGCCCCCCCCCCTCTGTGGACTGCTGCCAGAGGAGAGGAAGAAAACTCAACCTAAACATACCACTTTGTTTTGTTTATACTGTAACTATAGAAAACCTAAAATATGAAGCATTTTCATTGTGGGTTATACAAGAATATAATTGATTATATTTGATTATAACTAACTTTCGTTTTTAAGTATTAAACATACTATGCAAACTCACAACAACAGCTACAGTGTAAATATGCAACGAAAGCTTAAGTCCCAGGCTCTTCAAACAATGCAAAATATGAATATATAAATGCAGAAATAAAATAGTGCAAGATTATTTTGCAAGTAATGCAGGAGAAGTTAAATATATATATATGCAAAATAGAATAAGATGAGCTAAAAATAGAATTTAAAATGAAATGCTGTAAGTGAAATAAAGTCCTGCATATTGTAATAATAACTGACATTTATTAATTTAGGATATACCCCTTGACATGAACCATCTCGTTTCAAGGGGGTCCTAACATATAGTACAAAAAGCAAGACAGTAACAAGAAAATAAAAGTCTAAAGATAAATATGTGAGATGCAAACAGATGACTGGTATGAAGGCACGGAGCTCAGGAGTTTAGCAGTCTTAAATGTGAGTTCAGTCGTGTCCAGTGCATGTGGGGCTGCTGTGGTATATCATGTGCAATGATGTATCTGCCACTACAGTTTTTACATTTGTTTCTTTTAATTTGTTGTAGTATTATTATGTATTGTATCTTTTGTAATTCTGGCACAAGAATTCCTTTCAGGATGAATAAAGTCTTATCTTAACATGTCTCTGTTTACCATTATGGTAACTATGTGCCTATTTTCCAATGCAGCCACTCAGTTTATGTACATTAACATAGTACACTATTAGCCACTACCTTTGTGTTAAAACAGTATCATACATTCCTGGAAGACAACTAGTCTGTAAAACAGCATATCATCTGCATAGCACACAGAACAAAGTCTATATAAAGTTCATAAACTAGTATGTTTGAGTGGATTTGGGTAAAGAATATATTTTTGGTGGTTTTGCTCAGGTTCTGCTCCGAAGACTGAGGCCCACGCTTCCTTTCAGGCTGATGTGAAGAAGGCCATCGGAGCAGAGAAGACGGCGCTGCTGCTGCAGGCCATCCAGAGCTACAAGAGGAGCGACTGCTACGAGTCCCTGGTGGGCACCGCCGTGAGCCTGTTCACAGAGAGGGACCAGGACTTCCAGCTGCTAGTCCGTAAGTCCCTTCAAACCAGGATCAGAACAGGTTTATTGCCAAGTGAAATGTGTCTTGTAGTGTATGGTGCAAACATAAACACAGTTAAAGAAGATCAAAAGTAAGAAAAACAACCAAACAATTATAAAACACTATTTACTATTATACGTTAAGATATAGAACATTATTTACATGAAATCTCGATAAACCAAAAAACTACTCACAGTATACTAAGAATAGTACTAAGAATAATAAAATAAAAGATGTGCTGTATGTATTGTTTTGGTAAGTGGAAAGCTGTGTAGATGCTAATAGAATATTCGGAGGGTTGTGCAGAACAATACTTCAGTAAAAACGATATATTGTTTGCATAGTGTGCATTCATGTAACGCATACTGAAATCTAAATCACGGCATAAACTCAATACATTTTGAAGTTTGAAGAAGTTATGAGAAGTCACTTTACACTCACTTTGATCTTTCTTTTCTGAAGGATTTGGCTCGTTTATTCCCCCCCGCCATAAGAAGCAGTACAAAGAGATGTTGCAGGCTCTGACGGGCCAGTCCTCCTCTGCTGAGGTTCCTGCTGTGAGCGAAGACGAGCAAAGACACGGTGAAGAAAAACCCAATCTAGCACCTGAATCAGTGTTTATGTGTTTGTATTACTTCCGTCCTGAGACTTGTTGTACTTTCCTTTTAATGTTAGAGAAAAGCTCAGAAGTCACTGAAATCCATGAGAATGCTCTTCATGGAGGATGTTTGGATAAAGGGATATCTTATCCAGGTTTACATGAGAAGATAAAAGGACAGTTTAGCTAAAAACACCCAGTGTTTCCCCTACCATTGTCTTGGAGGGGCGCTGCACCCCCCCAACAGAACTCCTGAAATTGAAGATGTTTTTTTTTCATATATATATAAAGCGCCAAATCACAACTGAAGTAATACTACGGTCATATTTAATATTGAACAGGTGCTCTTTTATTAATCAAACCAAACGTTGATGTTATTGATCAAATGTATGTGCACGTTTCAGTGTCCACTGCGTTGCTTTGCGCATTCACATTTTCTCCTCTGCTCTGTTTTCCGAAGGGCGGGGCTCCGCTCCCCGCACACACGTGCGCAGACACTACAGTCAGAGACAAGAGCGGAGGAGAGGAGAGAACTATAGAGTGGCGAAGTCACGCCCATCTACTTCCAGTCCATGGGACCTTATTTCGGAAAAATAATGTATTGAAGTCAATGGAGAGAGAAAACGTATCTTTCGATCCCGTTTGAATTGTGCCATGAATTACACATATGATGTTTGTCAATCTTAAAAAATCATTTCCATGTCAAAAAAGTCACGGTTTGTCGTAAAACTGTTGAAATATAAGTCTATGAAAAATACACAACTAGAAAGACTACAAATCCCAGAGTCGCGTAAGTGATGTCACAATTGTTTTTTTCCTCCACTAAGAGATAGCTAAGATCAGCGCCATATAGATATAATCTATCTATATGGCGCTGGCTAAGATAAGATAACTTTAACAAGATGCCTGTGTGCTTAGTACCAGGTTGTTATCATACCAGCAATGGGTCATACGGCCCGTCCACACAGCAGCTTTTGGCGATTTGTCCACCGCTTCCAGCGCGTCTCCGCCCATTGACTTTGAATGGGGATGACGTCACTTTCCCTCGCTTGTTGCCGAACTGCATTGTGGGGGGGCGAGGCGAAGATTTCCAGGATTTCCAGGATGTTCAGGATTTCAAAGTTGAACAATGTTCAACTTTTGAGGCTGAGCTGGAAGCGACAGCCAATCAGATCCGTTTATGCAAATCTGACAGTTCAACCGCTAGCCAATCAAACCGCGTGCAAGCTGGGAGAGCCAGACTGCAGTTCATTCTATATTCCTAACAAAAATGGAGGAGAAGTTAGTTATTGCGGTAGCAAATCACCCGGTTCTTTATGACCAGTCCCTATTTCCTTACAGTACTGGGATACAAACCGGAGGAACCAGGCATGGAGGGAGGTGGCAGAGACAGTGGGTGAAACCGGGATTTTATATCCAGTTTACTTCGTTGCTAGTTTACTTCGTTGCTAGCAAGCATAGACAGTATCATTAGCCAGCATGGAATGTAGCATAAAATAGCACCATAAACATTAATCTCATAAATGTTTAAAGAAATAGTGGAGAAGAACCGGGGTTTTTTGCTTTGTATGTCGGGGGCGGGAGATTCATGTGATTGGTTGTTGGTCGCGAAATCCCCAAGCTTTCAGACACGCCCAGCTCCAAGATTTTCAAGATTTTTGAAAAGCTGCTGTGTGGACGTACCGTTACTCGTTCTTTCGCTTCCCGTCTGATGAAAGGACCAGGAGTGGCTGGATCAAGTTAGCTACCTAGCTAGTAGCTAGCACGTTAGTTAGCATTACAGCCTTGTCATTTGTATTAGCCTTAATATGAAGTAACATTAAGTAACCCAAAATGTTAAACAGTAAGAGTAGTAGTCATATTTCGTGAACCCTTTGAAGAGTACTGTCACACCGGTGTGATCATTCTATAATACACAATTTAAGCCCGGGGGAGAAATGCTAACGCTACATTAGCATCTGCGATGTTTTCTACTTCATGCTATCTGCACAAATGGTTGACATTAAACATTCAAAAGACCAGGCAGTTCAGAGAGAATCAAAGGCAGGCAGGCAGCTTTGCATGACATTCTTCTGGACGTGTTTCCTTGTGGTGATAGTGAGGGTAGTCAATCGTTTTGTTGACAAGACAGTAGTGACGACCATCTTGGTGACGTGTGTTGTTCTGCGAGACCAGAGATGTAGTTCATTCAGCGTTTCACACAAACAAATGTGTTACTTCACAATTTTACGACACTTTTAAATTGACAAACATCATATGTGTAATTCGTGGCACAATTCAAACGGGATCGAAAGATAATCTTTCTCTCTCCATTGACTTCAATACATAATTTTTTCGAAATAAGGTCCCATGGAGGACCACCGGAAGGGGAGGGACTTCGCCACTCTATAAAGTGCAAACAAGTCAAACAAAACCAACACATTCATTATAAATGGAGCCACGTCGAACCCAACCTTAGGAAATTCAGGCAAAAATATCCGTAAATTGTAAACGCACACAGCCTGAGAGAGCGCACCGGTTACAGGGATTGTTATTGTTAGCATCTGGTTAGCTAGCTTCGCTAACGGATATGAGAAGCTTTTTCTATAACAAGGTGGAGAAGAGTTCTCTCCGGTTAGAGAGAGAGAGGCTCAGGTGGGGTAAAGGACTCTCTGAGTGTTTACTTTATATAGTTATTGTTAGTCTAATCTCAGTGGGTCTCAAATGTTTTGGTCACAATTTATATAAACAAGTATTTCCAAGGCACACCTTATATTATTAATATTATACTCATATAAAAAACCCTGAATAAATAAAAACAGGTATGAAATCATTCCAATGTGTACTATAGGACAGTAAAACCAAATACAGTTTAAAAAGGGGAGTCACTAGTAAGATATACATAAATAACACACAACCATGAACGAACCAAAAAAATTTAATAAACAAGTTTAAAATGATTTGTTATTGGTATGTTATTGGTTGAGGTCTTATTCTAACGATTTTTTGATTATTTAAATACATATATCTTTCATCTGGGTGTTGAGAGATGTATCCATAGATCTAGTCCCTCATTTTGCCCTCAAAGTGCACCAAATTGATGCAGTTAAGTCCAATATTTAAAAAAGAAATCTGAGGTCCAGCCCCACTTAAAACATGTATATATATATGTATATATATATCCGTATTTATGTGTACCCCAGCACGGACCGCTTTCATCCAGCCCAGGCAGCACCCCCCCAAAAGCAGTAAACGTTTATTTGGCAGGGACAATGCTCAGTAATGAACACTTAAAACATTCAAATGTATCAAGCGTAACAGTGCCAGATTTAGCTTTGAGCTCATTTCCATCTGCAGTCCCTCACATAAAACATTTAAGAAGATTACATTTCACAAACATAGCAAAGACAAAATACATGATATGCAAAAAGTGCAAAAGAGCAAGAGCAACATACACAAGTATTTATCACATGGTAATACAATATAGCAGCAACGACATATAAAGTGCAAGAGAAGATACAAGAGCTACATAAAGTGCAAGAGGAGATACCCCTGTGTTAAAGTGCATTTAGCGGTGATTGCACGTCTGTTTATTTCTTAACCATTCTTTGAGTTGACCTTTGAACCTATTGAGAGTGGGACAATCCCGTATCTCAGTTGGGAGGCTATTCCACAAAGAGCTGCCTTTAACGGAGAGGACATTTTGTCCAAAAGTGGTCCGTCTGCGGTGGACTTCACAGTCTCCTCTGGTTCAGTCCATGTAAACATTTTTTTTAAAAAGAACATACTTTTAAAAGACTTAAAATTGTCAAAACTCAAGAAATTGTGTTTCTCAAGGATGGTACAGTGGTGGTATGAATGTGGCTTTCTGTCAAACACCTTGATAGCTCTCTTGTACAGCTGTTCTATTGGTTTAAAGCAGGGGTAGGCAAGTAAGTTTAGCTTTGGGCCAATTTTTTGCTGAGCCGCAAGATGGCGGGCCAGAACATAATCAAAGCCTAATTCAAGGAATTGATTTTGGTAAGAGGGCGCAGCGCCCCTGTTCCCTGGTTCAGAAAAAACTCTGATATCGCTGATAAGCCTCCCCATCAACACTCTGATGCACAGTCAGATCCGCTGATTGGTTCACTGATGATATAGGCGCCCAATCCAGAGCCTCTGGCTAGACCCGCCCAAAGAGAGGCTCGTCCTCTCTAGCCCCATTTCAGTCCCAAAGCCAGGGCTTTTATCTGTATTTTAACAGACTTATCTTTTAAATAGAGGTGTATTTATTGTTCTCTTCAAAGTTTATTTTTCTCTGAAATTTTAGGGAGGATGGTCCTCCCTTTCCTCAATGGACGAGCCTCCACTGAG